CTACGTTTCTGTTTATCCCTCTTTTGTTAGAGAATCTGGAGCTTTGCGTGGTTGAGTTTGAGCTTTTTTTTTTTCACTCTTGGTTTGTTTTCGCAATCAAAAATCAGTTGTGTTAGCTACGGATTTAGTAGATTTTGAGTTTCGAAATTTGTTTGTGTTCTCTGACTCGATCACTTTGTTTACCTGTGTATTTTTTGGTAGATAGAATCATAGAATCTGGTGAGTTTCTTCATCTGTTTCTGTTTTCTAATTTTAGCTCTCGGATTGCAATTGACTTTTTCCTTTTTCTCTGTGTATCTGTTGATTCTATTACATGCTGAATTTTGTAAGGAATTGATTCAATTCGTTTGTTTGGTTATACAGTTTGCGTGATGAAGACAGCAAAAGGGAAGGATAAAGTTAAGAACACAAAGGAAGCCTTGAAGCCAGTTGATGACAGGTTATAATCCATTACCTCTCTGAAACACTTATACAGTGATAATGAGAATTGGTCATGAAAGTATCTTTTGAAAATCTGGATTAGCTTCAGCTGTGATGAAACAGTTGAGGATCAGGCTTGGAGCTGTTTGTTGACGTTGTAGCTTAGGATGGATAGACTTGTAGCATTTTCGCTTGTGATGATTTGGTTTCTGTTTGATTTTCAGAAAGGTTGGGAAGAGGAAGGCGCCAGCTGAGAAGCCTAGCAAACGGGAGATTCGTAAAGAGAAGAAAGCCAAAAAGGACCCAAACAAACCGAAAAGACCTCCTAGTGCCTTCTTTGTCTTTCTGTAAGTATATTGTGGATGATTTCCCTGAAGGAGATTCCTTCTTGTATTATTGAACTTCCTAGAAAATCTTTCATAATTTAGTGGTTTGTTTTGCTGTTGCTGTTAACTTACTGGTTTCTGGTTTCTTTGTTTCAGAGAAGATTTTAGGGTAACGTTCAAGAAAGAAAATCCAAATGTTAAGGCTGTCTCTGCTGTAAGCATTTTTGACAGATTCCTAGAAACTTTTTACACGTATATAGTCTTTCCCGGATGAAGTCCTAGTTGTCTTACTCTTCCCTTTTCCTTATGAAGGTTGGGAAAGCTGGAGGGCAGAAATGGAAGTCATTGTCTCAGGCTGTAAGTATCTGTGGTACTTCCGTCTCTGATAATGTGATGGAATCAACTGCTTCAAGAACTTTTTGTTCATGCAAAATAGATACCTTCTAAGCTATTGTAGAAAGGATAGTTCTGCACATACATCTGACAGTACAAATAGTTAATTTATCATACAAGGACCTTCTATTTGATGAGTAGCAAGGAATTCTGTTTTTGATTTTTACCAGAGACTAACCGACTAAACTAAGCCGTGGTAAGTTGGTAACATAAAAAGCCATAAAGTTATAACATTGGTTACATTATTTAGTTAAGTAAAAAAGCGAAGTCTTTGGGTTTCTCATAACATCACTTGTGAACACTCTATTATGATCGTTAAACGAAATGGAGTATAATAATGTGACATTGACATGAGCTTCACCTCTTCCTCTTGAAGGAAAAAGCTCCATATGAAGAGAAAGCTGCAAAGAGGAAAGCTGATTATGAAAAACTTATTGATGCATACAACAAAAACATGGTAAGCTTAAGCAGTATCTCACATATATATAATTATAAATCCTTAGGTGCCTAATCTGATTTCCTTGCAATATGTTACAGGAGGAAGGGAGTGATGAATCTGAAAAGTCTAGATCCGAGGTGAACGATGAAGATGAAGCTAGCGAGGAGGTAACAATTCCACCAAACAATGTAGAGTTTTCTTATATGTAGTGTACTTATGCATGAAGCATTGTCTCGTGTAGCAAGTTTTAGATTTCTGAAGAATAGGTTTCGCTTAATGTTTTCTCTGCAGGAAGAACAACTAGAAAAGGGAAAGGCAGATGATAAAGAAGAAGT